CTTTCCCACTACAAGCAAACACCTCAAATTTAAAGTTTCCGACGTGCAGCCAGGGAGTCAGACAGCTCTTGTGTCTTCCTCAGGCTTATTCCAGAGGGGAGTATGGTTCTTTTCTTCGCCTCCTACAGTGGAGCTGGAAGCTGTGACAGTAAATGTAACCATCCAGGACTTTGTAGCCGATGTGGTGTCTGAGCTGTTTTTCCGCAATATGCAGCAAGTCTCTGAGGAGACCATGTTTGTCTTTCCTGTGGACTCTGACACTGTTGTACACACCTTCTACGCTACCATGGGGGACACTCGTATTGAAGCAATGCTCTGGGAGAAGGAGGAGGTACTGGGATTGCGGTGGGAGGGGGTGGTCTGCAGATTGGGCTGAAGCGTGCAGGCGAGAGAATGGAATCCTGTGGAGACCTCAGTGACACATTTTTCTCCCCCTGTGGCAGGCCCAGCAGCTGTACAAAGCCACTTCAGGCATGGAGAATTTGAGATACCTGCAGGACCAGTGGGATCTTTGGGGTCCTGTCTTCGCTTGTTTCCTGGGGACCGTGCCTCCTAACACGGAGGTGGTCATCAGCCTGTGCTATGTCCAGGAGCTGCCACTGCAGCCTGATGGAGCTGCCCAGTTTTGCTGGCCACACGAGCTGTTCCCCCAGCTAAAATACATTAGTGAGTGATCTCCTCAGGTGCATCGCCCAGGGAGGAACACATCACTCCCCAGCATCCCTCCGGGGGGGGACCCCTGTATCTGCACACGTGCCTCAGTGAGAGAATCTGAATATTCCCCCTTGCACCTCACAGTCAGGAACCCCGCGGGTCTCCCCATTTATACCACAGCAAGAGACCCCCACAGATCCCTGTACAAACCACAGGGCGAGTCTACAGATTCACCACCACCACCGCCACACACACCTCCCCCTCCCCCGCCAAGCACCACAGTGAGGGACATCTCAGATGCCACATTTCCCCCCTACCAACGACAGACAGTGCCCCACCATAGCTGTCTGCTGCCCTAGGGTCTCTTGTTTCACCTTCTCACCCCTCTTTCTCACTGCAGGCTGGATCCTTTCTGAGGAGGAGACGTTCGAAAACCTGCGCTTCAGCATCTCTCTGAAGTCAGCCCGTGGTGTGTCCCATATAGTCATGAACAGCAGCTACACCCCTCTGCAATACACAGCTCCAGACCAGACGTCTGCTGAGGTACGGCCCTGCCAGATGCTAGTGTCCCAAAGCGGGAGGGAAGGGAAGGATCTGCAGCCTGCTGACGCACCTTAGGACTCCTCAATCCTTTCACTTGGCTCTCTTTCCTCCCCACCCCCTACTTGTCCTCAGGTCTCCTTGAAATCGCTACCCTTGATGTGGGATGATCTGGACTTGCTGGTGTATTACAGAGAGTCTCAGACTCTCAGCGCTGTGGTGGAGAGGAGAGATCCCAAAGCCCCACCTGGTGAGCGAGGAGGGTGGAAGTGGGCATCAGGGACACTGGGGGGATCTGAGGGGCTTTTTAGGCAATAGTTGGGAGCTGAGGGATATGTGGAGGACAAAACCAAAGAGACAGGGAAGGGGGCTCCAACCTAAAAATCCTCCTTGTTTACCCACACACGCTCCAGGCTCTCTGCTGGGAGACCCTGTGGTGATGGTGACACTGATGCCCAACATTCCTGAGGTGGTGCCCAGTCCAGGCCAGCTTGGGGAGTTCCTCTTTCTCATGGACCGCAGCCTCTTCCAGGATGCACAGGTACCAGCAGCAGAGGTCTTCAGGGGGGAATTCCCACACCGGTCATGCCCGGCTGGTGGGGATAGAGGCAAGCTGCTTCACGTGGGCGGATGTTCTGCCTAGCTTCCCCATCTCAGCTCTGCCCATCCCTCCATCTGTCCCCAGAACACACTGCTCTTCCTCCTCAAGAGTTTGCCTCTGGGCTGTTACTTCAACATCTACAGTTTTGGGGCCACTTTCAAAGCCTTCTATCCGTGAGTTGGGAGTGAGGATGGGGCAGGGCCACGGGGTAAGTCGAATAGGACTTTTCTAAGGGAAACTATGGGACAAGCACTTGCTGGAGGGCAGTTATGGGGCAGGATATGTTGGGGGCAGTGAGAGGGTAAGTCCTCTTTTCAGGGTGCTTCTGTAGCACTGGTCGTGAGGTAGGGCTTTCCTAGGGAGTGGCCATGTGAGGGTAGCCGTGGGCCAGGTTCTCCCACCTCTAACACTCTGGGTGCCCTCCCACAGGCAGAGTGTGGAATACACGCAGGAAAGCATGGACAATGCAGTGAGGCGCATCTCCTCCATCTGCCCTGATCTGGGGGGCTGTGACCTGTTGGGCCTCCTAAGGTCTATCTACAGCACTCCTCACCTTCATGGGCACCCCCGCCAGGTATCAGGGGCCAAAGGGCTATGGGGAGGGGAATGGGTGCAAACAATGGGGTAAAGGTAGACTTCAGGGCTCAGGGTGAGCCATTCTGCTGCTGTTTGCACCGGGAGTTGGCATGTGGAGGGGCATCCTCGTGGCAGAAGGTGACACCGTCTTTGGGGTGGGCAGCATGGGAGGGCTTCTGTGGAGCTTGCCTGCACTTGGGGAAGGTGGATCTTCCATGTGGGGTGTCCCTTTGTGCTAAGAGGTGTCCTGGTGTTAATGAAAGGAGACACACAATCTCTTTTCCTGTCTCAAGGCCAGTGGGCGCGAGAGGGTAAGGGAGCAAACTGGGAAGGCTTCCTGCATTTTAGGAGGGTGTCTTTCCTCTACGGGGGTGCCCAGCCCTGGCAATCTTTGCTTGCCCTCCTCTCTCCCTCAGCTTTTCATCTTCATCCAAAGGAGGATCTCCAGTGAAGAGGAAGCTGTCATGGCTGAGGTCTACCGTTACCGGGACCACCACCGGTAATGGGGGAGCCCTCTTCCTGTCCCCTAGTGTGCTAATTCACAACCTTCCTCTCCCCTTGACTATCAGAGTCCTTCAGACATTCTCCCAGGTCCCAGTCTGCCCCAGATCTTCTCTTTACATCGATGGAACTTCAGCAACAACCCCCCCACACGCACTTTCCTTACCTCACTAAGACCACCCATACTCGTCATCTAGCGGGCCTCCTCTCCCAACCTTTCCCTGCTCTCCTCAGCACTTTTCCTCTTCTCCCCCATC